TACTCCTGTCCCTGTACATACTACCCACCGCCATACACTCCGCACTCCTGTCCCTGTACATACTACCCACCGCCATACACTCCGCACTCCTGTCCCTGTACATACTACCCACCGCCATACACTCCGCACTGTACATTCCATATTTGACATTACCTCATTCTGCACTATATAAGTCATCTCAGACACTATTTAACCACACCCCTTTTAAGTAATTACCAATTTAAATCTCTCTCTCCCCATCCCTCCTCTTTTTCACCTTCTCTCTTTCATTTCCCCTAAATGGCAGCCATCTTTAAACTTGGAAATGTCCGGTGGCTTTAACAGAAAGAAGCCAGGAACGTTCATGCAGACTTTGCTGCAGTAAATATTTAAATGCCCTTTCTATGCAGCTGAGCTGCAATATTTAGGTAGGGTGTTGTGTGGGTGTGGCTTGAGTGTAGGCGGGGGGAACAGGGGGCCCCATTATCTCTTACTGCCCGGGGGCCCCATGAGCTGTCAGTCTGCCCTTGCTTGTTGATGTCAGAGGAGGAGGAGAATGGGCAGACTGGTTGCTGCGACATTCAGATGGTGGGGTCAGAATTTGACATAAACAACATGAAAGCATGGATCCATCCTGCCTTGTATCAATGGGTCAGGCTGGTGGTGGTGGTGTCATGGTGTGGTGGATCCATCCTGCCTTGTATCAACGGTTCAGGCTGGTGGTGGTGGTGTCATGGTGTGGTGGATTCATCCTGCCTTGTATCAACGGGTCAGGCTGGTGATGGTCGTGTCATAGTGTGTTGGATCCATCCTCCCTTGTATCAACGGGTCAGGCTGATGATGGTGGTGTCATGGTGTGGTGGATTCATCCTGCCTTGTATCAACGGGTCAGGCTGGTGGTGGTGGTGGTGTCATGGTGTGGTGGATCCATCCTGCCTTGTATCAAGGGGTCAGGCTGGGGGTGATGTTATCATGGTGTGGTGGACCTATCCTGCCATGTATCAACGGGTTAGGCTGGTGGTGGTGGTGTCATGGTGTGGTGGATCCATCCTGCCTTGTATCAACGGGTTAGGCTGGTGGTGGTGGTGTCATGGTGTGGTGGATTCATCCTGCCTTGTATCAACGGGTCAGGCTGGTGGTGGTGGTGTCATGGTGTGGTGGATTCATCCTGCCTTGTATCAACGGGTCAGGCTGGTGGTGGTGGTGTCATGGTGTGGTGGATCCATCCTGCCTTGTATCAACGGGTCAGGCTGGTGGTGGTGGTGTCATGGTGTGGGGGAGGTGTCTTGGCACTAGCAAGGCAGACCTAATAAAGTTGCCAGTAAGTGTAGGATGCAGGATGCAACGTAAGAAACACTATATAGTTACTACGGTGGCTGTGAACTCAGGAAGTGCAGACATCACGTTTCATTCTGGTGAAGTCTCTCGAAGAAATCAGTCGCATTATAGAGGAGAGAGCTTCACTGCATCATGCCTTGGTTAATATTTTTTCTTTTTACATTGTCATGTAAGTATATTTTCAAACATTGAAATATACTTTCTAAACTTTTCTGCTAACTTTCTGGTAGGATTTGACATCTACATTGTGCTCTTAAATCAATGATACCCTAAAGTCATATATAATTATCACTTTGATTAGTTGATGCATTGTAACATTCATAGTGCTTAACCTTTTTTTTATTTCTTTATTGCATTTTAACATAAATAGTGTTTATTTTTATTACTTTGGTGTATTATGGCTTTAAGTATTTTAAGAGATATTTTGTGATTTACTAATTTCTCAATTATTTGTTGACTCTATTTAATACCTTAATAATAATAATTGATTAGCCTGCATTGCTATTGTTGTAAATATGAACGGCTGTATGGGTGAGACCAGTGTTTCTCGATGGTAATGATGCACAATGTGGCTTTGTGTAACTAAAAAGGCACACTTGTTCCACCCATTGGCTTCTATACAAAATCTGGCCAATTTTTAGACATTTTGTCAAGGCACCCCTGAAGAAACCTCAAGGCACCCTGGTTGAAAAATACTGAGATAGACATGGACATAATGGGGTTGATTTACTAAACTGGTTCACTCAGAACCTGGTGCAGCTGTACATGGGAACCAATCAGCTTCTAACCTCAGCTTGTTCAATTAAGCTTTAGCAATAAAACCTGGAAGCTGATTGGTTTCCACGCAGAAGTGCACGAGATCCTGAGTGAACCAGCTTTAGTAAATAAACCCCGATGAGTCTCTGATATGGAAAAATCTGGTAAAAGAAAGCCTTGGAAAAAGTGAGCACATTGCTCATGGGGCCCCCGGGCAATAGGGGATCATGGGGCCCCTGTGTCCTTGCCCAAACTCAAAAAAGCCTATGAAAAAGGTACCAGGGGCATCTCATGGGGCCCCCTACTGACCCCGGGCCCTCGGGCAGTGCCCGAGTTTCCAAATGGTCAGTCCACCCCTGTACACATGCCTTGGCTGAGATGCTTTGCTTCATGATCGCAGTAGGAATTATACCCTCTCTCTTTTAGCGATCAACAAGTTAAAGCAGGCAGTGAGGGGAAATATAACAAACATGTAGCGCTCTTCAGAGACCAAAGCCTACATGGTCTGGCCCTTAACCACTTCCCAGTCAGATACCAGGACCAGGGGCGGACTGACAACTCATGGGGCCCCCGTGCAATAGGGGATCAATGGGCCCATGTGTCCTTGCCCAAACTCAAAAAAGCCTATGAAAAAGGTACCAGGGGCATCTCATGGGGCCCCCTACTGACCCCGGGCCCTCGGCCAGTGCCAGAGTTTCCAAATGGTCATTCCGCCCCTGGCCACCTCTGTATCATGGTTGGTGGCACTCAAAGCCACTGTCTTGATTAGCGGAGAAGGGGAAGTGGAGAAAAGCCTAAAAGAAAAAATTGCAGAGCGTAACCCATTTCCTTAATGATCTAAGGTTGGCCATACACTGTAAGATTTGACTTGTTCAACCCTGAAGGCTTAGTGAGAGAAATACTTTGGTCCCTCACCCACAGTAAACAGCACAGTTGCACCCGCAGCTCTCAGGATATCCAAAGAATGGCTGCCTTTCATTGGATGCAACCGCTTTTTAGCCAACAATGTTCAGAGGGCTCCTTTTGGTTTTCATATCCAAAGATGTCAAATGGAAGGGTGCCAACAGATTCACCCGCCACCCAAATTTCAGTAATTTGGAACCTTGCTCAGTGTATGGCTAGTTTAAGATGGATTGACCCTAAAAATATGGGGGTTGGGGACAGGAGCATCAAAGGATGGGTTGTGCTATCTGTTGTCCAACTGCAAGTATTGTATCTAAACCACCTCCCAGCACCAGTATTATGGGTCACAGTCAGTGGTGTATTCAGGTTTAGTGCTGCCCCAGGCAACACACAAATTGCCTCTCCCTCCATGGAGAGACCCTGACACCGGCAAGCACCTCCCTCCCCCATGAAAAGAGCCTGACATTGACCAACAACACCCCAGACCCGAGATAAAACACTCGCTTTTCACATCCCTTCTTTCGGGGGGCACTGAAAAATGCTGCTGCCCCTCTGAAAAATGCCGCCCTAGTCACGTGCCTTGTTTGCCTTGTGGTAAATACACCCCTGGTTACAGTGTTACTGGTAATAAACGACATCCAACATGACCAAGAATTTTGTTGAGGTCTACATATACAGCATTAAGTTACCTCTCCACTCAGAACATGTAAAGTTAAGAATGTAAAAGTCACATAATACCTCGTATGAACCAACATAAGTTTCTAAATTGCATACAAATTTCCTACCAAACTCCTTGGATCATTGGCCCATTGCCCTGCAATGATTTCTATAGCTCACACTTTGTGCCTTCCTCCTTTCCTAACACTGGCAGCTCTCTATACCAAAAAAAAACAAAAAAACTTACTGTGGGTGGCAAAAAGGCAAAAGTAAGATTCCTTCTTGTTACAAAAAGAGATATTCTTTTGGTTCCAATAGAGAAGACAAGTTTACAAAAATTATTCCTTTAGTTCCAGTAGACGAAACAAATTATAGGCAAGTCTATAAGTTGTTGGCTTGAAACCGGCCATAGTATACAACTCAACAAAGCAGCAGAGACTAAAGAACTGCAAGTCTCACGCCACAAAGGCTGGTCTTCTGGACTCCTGGGGCAAAATCCAGATTGCTGGAAAGTGAAGAAAAGATCCTGGCCAGTACATCCGATGGGGGGGTTTGAGACCAAATCCTGGTACAATCCATTTTGCAAAGAAAGAAGCGCAGCATAGAATAGCAAACGTCCAGAGTTCAGATCTTCCTGTTTCTAAACTAATATTTCCACATTCCTTTCTCCACCCTTTGGAATGCCTCTTGGCTTCTTTCAAAGAGGAGGAGAGAGAAAACCGGCTTGCCTCTATCACGAGCAATTCACAATGTACATACAGTTTAGAACTGAAACCATTTTGAACCTACTTCTGAAGCAGCTGGTTGTACCTGCGAAATTGGTCAGGAATGGGCGATACCACACTCCCGGGCCCCCCAGGGATTTCTTCACCGATCCCCATGACATAAGTACTATATTACAACTCTAGATGCTCCTTTTTGATGCTTTTGCTCCATACCTTGAAAAAAGTACTTCTTGCTGGTCTTCTGACATATGCATAATCACTCACCTACTGGGCACTCATACCCCCTTCCTGCCCAGGCCAATTTTCTGCTTCCAGTGATGTCGTACTTTGAATGACAATTGTGCAGTCATGCAACACTGTACCCATATAAATTTTTATCATTTTTTTGAGACATGGCTTTCTTTGGTGGTATTTAATCACCTCCTGGGTTTTTTATTTTTTTGCTAAACAAACCAAAAACCACTGAAAATTTTGAAAAAAATGGTTTTTCTTAGTTTTTGTTATAAAATTTTGTAAATAAGCGATTTTTCTCCTTCACTGATGTGCGCTAATGAGGTTGCAGTGATGGGCACTGATAGGCTGCACTGATGAGGAGGCACTGGTAGGTGGCACTGTTGGGCATTGACAGGCATCATTGATGGGCACTGAAAGGCAGCACTCATATATGGCACTGATAAGCGGCACTGATAGGCGGCACTGACTGGCACTGATAGGCGGCACTGACTGGCACTGTTAGGCGGCACTGATAGGCAGCACTGATGCTCACTGATAGGCAGCACTGACTGGCACTGATTGGCGGCACTGATAGGTAGCACTGACTGGCACTGATAGGTGGCACTGACTGGCACTGATAGGTAACACTGAAAGGCAGCTCAGATGGGCACTGATATGTGGCATTGATGTGCAATGGTAGGCACTGATGTGGCATTGATGTGGCACTGATGGGCACTGGCAGGTGGCACTGCCGGGGCTACACTGATCATCAGGGCACACTGATCATCAGTGTCCTATAACACAGTGCCCACCGGGAATAACTTGGTGTATGTCAGGAATGGACTTGCCAATAGTGGTGGGACTCACCTGCCTTGTGGGCTGCAGTATCAGGGCTGGCCAGCGGGTGCTCTCAACAACCAGAGGTTCACTTCGGCAATTAGCCATCACCTGGGGCTGATTGCAGGTGGTGTATTTAAGGGATGGCCAGACCTGCAGTCTGTGCCTTGGTGTGTGTTTTTCCATGGGCCCCTGTACCTTGTAACCTGCATTCCTGTTCCTGTTTCTGCCTGACTTGTTGCCGACCCTGCCTGATCCTGACCTCTGCTGACTTCTCCTGTTTGATCCTTGGCTTGTGACCCTGACCATTCTCTCCGCCTGCTCCTCCTGTACCTACCTGCCCGATAGTTATCAACCCGGCCTGCCTGACTACGTTGTGCTCTATATGTGTATGTACCTGTGTATCTATATCAGTTTGGGTTTGTTTCACCTTGTTGTATGTATTTGTGTTAGCTTGGGGTTTGGTGCACTGCGTTTATAATTGTATTGTTAGTCTTAATAAATTGTCTTATTTATACCATATCTGAAGCCTACGTTTCCCTGTGTCAGTACACACATCTCTGGTCATACCCGGAGCCCTGACAGTGTAAATGTGACCAGTGTCCTAACCGACACTCGTGAAAACTCCTAAAACATAATACATACAAAAACCCCCACGATGATGAATACAACTAAAACAAATGTCCAATGAAAGTGATCAAAATGAGATATTCATGCATGTGCTGGTATGTGTTCAGTCACTAAGCAAATCCTTAGTAGCCAAAGTGCCCCCTCACCTCCTTACAACGACCCTACAGGGTCAGCTCGCTCTGAGTGTAAACCACTCTGGATGGTAACAGGTTACTTTTCAAATCCACTCCCAAGTATTCCGCTCCTTCCATACACATCTCAGCAGTATCCCCTCCGGACATAGGTAAACAAAAAACTTCCATAGTGTAAAACCATTTTTTATTTAGTTTTTTATTTTTATTTATTATTTATTTATTTTTATTTATTTTTTTATTTTTATTTATTTTTTTATTTTTATTTATTATATGCAGTATAGAAAAATGCCCACTTACATGCTCCTTTCACAAAGCTCTTCTACCTCATGCTAGAATGTATTGCATGGGTATTTGATACAGGACTTTCAAATATGGCCCCCACACCGGAAGTGACGTCACCGCGCACTCGGAAATGCCTCCTCGCGTACCGACACGTTGCGTCACGCTGGACACATGACTTCCTCAGGGTACATTTACAGTTTAGAACTGCCTTTCTCATCCAGAGTTCTGTTGAAACCTAGGGTTCCCCTGCAGTTTGCTATGGGTTCCTTGAGCAATGAGCTATTTCTGACTCTTAGATAAGTAACCATTGACTCCAATAAGCTTTGCAGCTCTCTGAACGGGGAACATTTATTTGGCTGACCACCAAAGTAACAGGACCCAATTCCCAATTACCACCTACAGTTGTGTTCAAAATAATCGCAGTGTGTTAAAAAAGGGAATAAAGCTGAAAATCCTTCTAATAGCTTTTATTTCCATCCACACAAATGCATTGGGAACACGACACATTCTATTCCAAATCAAAACATGAAGAAAAATACATCAAATTTGTGTTGTTCCTCTAAAAAAATTGAAGAAAAGTGAATATTAGACGGTTCAAAAAAATGGCAGTGTTTGTATTCTTCTTTACAAACTCAAACATTCACTATATAAACTGAGAAATGTTTGAAGATTTTGCTTTCCTTTGAATGACTTCATGAATATTTGGTTGTAGTCGCACTGTTTCTGAGAACTGCTGTACATCTGTGTTGCATGGAGTCACCCAACTTCTGGCCCCTGTGATCAGGTATTCCAGCCCAGGATGATTGGACCACATTCCACAGTTCTTCTCTATTTCTTGGTTTGGCCTCAGTGCATTTTTGATGTCACCCCACAAGTTTTCTATTGGATGAAGATCCGGGGATTGGGCTGGCCACTCCATAACGTCCATCTTGTTGGTCTGGAACCAAGATTTTGCACGTTTACTGGTGTGTTTGGGGTCGTTGTCTTGTTGGAACCCCCATTTCAAGGGCATTTCCTCTTCAGCATAAGGCAGCATGACCTCTTCAAGTATTCTGATGTATTCAAACTGATCCATGATCCCTGGTATGTGATAAATAGGCCCAACACCGTAGTATGAGAAACATCCCCATATCATGATGCTTGCACCACCATGCTTCACGGTCTTCACAATGTACTGTGGCTGGAATTCAGTGTTTGGGGGTCGTCTGACAAACTGTCTCCGCCCACTAGACCCAAAAAGGACAATCTTACTTTCATCAGTCCACAAAATGTTGCGCCATTTCTCTTTAGGCCAGTCAATGTGCTGTTTGGCAGATTGTAACCTCTTCAGCACACGTCTTTTTTCCAACAGTGGGACTTTGCGGGGGCTTCTTGCAGATAGCTTGGCTTCACATAGGCGTCTTCTAATTGGAACAGTCCTCACAGGGAACGTCACACCTTCTTTCATCTTCCTGGAGCTGATTGTTGGCTGAGTCCGCGCCATTTTGGCTATTCTTCGATCCATTCGAATGGTAGTTTTTCGCTTTCTTCCACGTCTTCCAGGTTTTGGTTGCCATTTTAAAGCATTTGGATCATTTTAGCTGAGCAGCCGATCATTTTCTGCACTTCTTTATATGTTTTCCCCTCTCCAATCAACGTTTTAATCAAGGTACGCTGTTCTTCTGAACAATGTCTGGAACGACCCATTTTCCTCAGAATTTCAGAGAGAAATGCACTGTAACCAGCATGTACAACATTTGCTGCCTTCCTTCCTTAAATAAGGGCAATAATTGCCACCTGTTTTTCAAAGAATGAATGACCTCACTAATAGAACTCCACTCTGCTATTATTTTGAACATGCCCCTTTCAATGAGTGATTCAATGACACAGAATCAGCAGCATGCATGTCATGACTGTTGGGTCTGTTGGATTTCTATGACTCTACTACACCGGCTAGGAAATTATTTGCCATGTAGAGATATCATTTCTACCAAAAATAGTGATTGATCCGGTTAGTGATGTCTGACTGCTATTATTTTGAGCACAACTGTATATCAAGAGGTCCTTCTCTACTGACCAACCTTTGGGAACTTGTCTCTGTGGACCATCTAGGTAAGGATGGATTTCACTGACCACCAATACAAGTGAGCACATGCACCAGGAGCTAGAAATACAGTAATTATTAGCAGGGGTTTTCCAAGTCTTGAAAGTCATTTCAGGGGTTTCTCCATGTTATATAATCAGTTAAACACAAACTCAGATCAAAACAATGGCCTACAGTATGTGCCATTGGAAAGAAACATGTAGTTCAGAGCTCTCCATAAATATTACAGACCAGGAATTGTTTGTGAGTGCTGTAGTAGCAGATTGATGGACTGAAGACTCAAGCTCAAGATTATTCTTCTCACAAAATAATAGCAAATGCAATGTTTTGGGGTCTCAAAAGAATCCCTTGTTTCAAGGTATTAGTGGCTAGGTAATACTAGACTTTGCTTTATACAGTGGACTTATGAAAAATAATATTTTGTATGTCATTTAACCGTTTCAATACCGGGCAATTTTACACCTTCCTGCCCAGGCCATTTTTCAGGTTTCAGCGCTCTCACACTTTGAATGACAATTGCGCGGTCATACAACATTGTACCCAAACTAAAATTTTAGCATTTTCTTCACACAACTAGAGCTTTCTTTTGGTGGTATTTAATCACCGCTTGGGTTTTTATTTTTTGCTAAATTAACAAAAAAAGGCCAAAAATTTTGAAAAAAAAAAAACACATTTTTCTTTGTTTCTGTTATAAAAGTTTACAAATAAATAATTGTTCTTCGTAAATTTAGGCCGAGATGTATTCTGCTACATGTCTTTGGTGAAAATAACCCAAATTAGGATGTATTTTTTAGTTTGTAGGAAAGTTATAGAGTTCACAAACTATAGGATAGATCTGAATATTGATCAATCCTGAAGTACTGACAGCCAATCTAATTTCTTGAGGTCCAAGAATGTCAGAACAGTACAGATATCCCCCAAATGACCCCTTTTTGCAGAGTAGACAGTCCGACGTACTTCATAAGAGGCATGGCGAGTTTTTTGAAGTTGTATTTTTTTGTCATAATTTTTCGGAAAATGAAAAAATTTAAAAAATAATTTTCACTATTTTTTTTTTTTTACATACTGTCACCAGTGCAGTACAGCGTCATCATATAACTGGCATGGCGGTGAACAGGGACACTGACTGGTGACAGTATGTAAAAAAAAATATATATATATTTTTTTTTTTTTTTTTTTATTATATTTAATTTTTTATTACATTTTTTTTTATTTTTTTTAAGATTTTTTTTTTTTCATATTTTACTATGACCAAAATAGTACAATGTTACCATAGTAACACTGACTACTTTGGGGAAGTGATCAGTATTTTTTTTTTTTTTTTTTTTTTTTACACAATTTGCTTATAGCAAAGAATTACTTTGCTATAAGCAATCATTTACCTGAATGACATCGATTCATTCAGCTTTTTTTTTTTTTTTTTTTTTTTTTTTTTTGTGCTTAGCTGTGATTTGGTCACAGCTAATCACATGACATGTGCATGTGATTAGCTGTGACCATTCACAGCTAGGCACTAGTATACAATGGATGGCATCATGAATGAAGCCATCCATTGTATACAACTGTCATGTGACCTGCTGTGATTGGTCACAGCAGGTCACATGGTACCGGCAACGGGAGGCGGTACTCGGATCTGTCATCGGCCGTATCCGAGGTGCACGGGCGGTGACAGATCGCACTGCTGCGTCGCTCTGCAACCGCGCAAACCGCGCATGTGCAGGAGCACGCCAAATGGCGTGCACCCGGAATACAGGAGCACATTTCAAGCCGCCAAATGGGCGGCTAATGGTTAATATATAAGTAGTTTTTTTTTCTTCATTTTTAAAAATTTATTGGAGTTTTTTGTTTTAAAAATATTGATTTTATACTGGTTTTCTCATTGCTCGCAGATTCTGTGGCATTGGAAATGCAAACCTTAAGCGGTCAGTTTGGTTCAGATCTTCACCTGCCTGTGTTGGAGTTATGTAATTCAACCCAAGATTTGGTTTTT